TCGATAATCGAGCGAATCGGAGAATGGTTATAATTCACCTGAATTCGACAGAAAAAGTGGTAATTACATCTCATTACACGGGGAGGGTTTTCCTGATGTTGGATACCTGGTTCGACGCGCGCTGCGGGCAAGCCAACAACCCACCCGTCACCTGCCTACCGACAGACGCTATCGCAGCCGTGAACCTCGCCCGATTGACGGGGGAAACCTGTATGCCGCCCAGCGCGCTGTACGAGTGCGCCATCCTTCCGACGCGGGAGCTGCTTGATGGAGTCGTACGCACCGCCAGCGACCTCGAACGGTGCCTAGAGGCTAGAAAACATCTGCTCCACGACTACTTCGTCGCTGCCCTGCGCGTTATGGTGCCCGTCGTCAGCACACAGTGCGCGACGCCCCTCGAATGTCTTGACTACTTCAACGACAAGGCGGAAATGTTCAAGAACCCCCAGCGCACGTGGCTCTGCCGCTACGACGCGCTCTCTGCGAATGCAGCGGAGATATTCGCGACATTCGAGCCGCTCTGCGAGGCCTGCGTGAAGATGGTGGAGGCGCGGCACCGTGCTGAGAGGTGGGATATCTGGTTCAGGTTGCTGGGTTACCTTGGGATAGTTGTCGCGGACTGGGTCCCTCCCGTGGTCTACGACTGACACTGTTACGACGGGTTTGTGAGATGTCCCGTCTTGATCTTGCGTGGTATGCTCACCCTTCGGCGGAGTTAATACCTTGGTGGGTATCCTGAATCTTTCTCGAGTTCGGTCTCCTCGGCCGAAGAAGAGACGAGACTGCCCAAAATTATACAAATTTGTAGGCCAGAGGCTATGGAGGAGCTTTGCATTCGCCGTGCAGGTGATAAAGCTTAATGTTCGCAAAAGATCAGGCTGAACGAAATCGCGATGTACGACGATCCTCTCACTTTGTGAGGCACCACTTTTATGGTCTGCAGCGAAGACTGTCATGCTGCCGATAGAGCAGCATGGCATGATGCCATGGTCCCCTTGTGATTTCACGACGATCTTCCACGCTGACCAAGCGTGGGTAGGACTCCGGTGATCAAACACGCTAGACGTCTTTGCCAACACGGACTGAATATAGCTGGGAAGGTGTATGTCATGTTAGCACAACGCACGCGAAACTCGCGATTCGAGACGACGAAGCTGGTCTTCGTACACGCGACTCGCCCGGGCACTGTGACTGACGACCTAGGGCCCCCCCTGATGCTGCAGAGTGGCACTGTAATGCCGTCCGCTGAGGCGAAATTCCTCGGTGTGTGGATCGACCGGAAGCTTCGCTTCCGGCGACAGGCTGAATATGCACTGCGCAAAGGTACCACGTGGTATCTGCAATTCGGACGTCTTGCACGCCCGAAGTCGGGGATCACTATGCGTCATGTACGAACCCTGTACGAGCAAATGCTCCTACCAGGCATGCTATACGCTGCCAGCGTATGGATTGTGCCCCAGCGCACCATTGCTGGCCGTAAGAAAACGTACGGCTCTGTGGGGATCATACGCAGGCTGGGACGAGTCCATCGCCAGGTGTGTACAATGATCACGGGCGCACTGCGGAGCACCCCTACAGACTCTATGGAGACGCACCTCAACCTTCCTCCTTTCCACCTCCTCGTCGATCGTATGATAATGCGCGAAGCCACCAGGTTATGCACCATGCCACCGACACACCCCCTCCACTCCCATGTCAAACGCGCCGCAAAATGGGTGAAACATCACCGGAGCCCCCTGCACGAAGTCCTAGCGGCGTACAACCTAGACCCGAAGGCGATTGAGACGATCGCAGCTGTCCGACACCCACCTGGCTGGAGACCGCCCTGCGTGGTCTCTATTGCCGCGAGCAAGGAGGACGCAGCAGCCGATGAACAAAAGTGGGTGGAGAGAGAGGGGTGGAGGGTGTACACGGATGGATCAGATGTGGACAGAGGTGTCGGCGCAGCGGCGGTGCTGATTGTCCCGGGGAAAGCACCCAAGGTTCTCCGCTACTACCTGGGCCCTTCGACCGACCACTCCGTGTACGAAGGCGAACTGATCGGCCTCGCGCTGGGCGTGGAGCTCCTGCACCGTGAACGTGCCTGCCACGCAGCGTCCTGCGCGGCCGACAATACGGCCAGTCTACGTGCAGCGCAGAGCCGCAAACCACACCCTGCGCATTACCTCGTCGACGAACTCCTACGGCGGATCGAGGCACTGCAGAGGCGGCACCCGGGGATTGACTTCACATTGAGATGGGTACCGGGCCACAAAGGGATCGAAGGGAACGAGATGGCGGACGTGGAGGCGAAGAAAGCGGCTAGAGGGGACAGCAGCCCGGTCGAGGACCTCCCGGGCTGGCTACGGAAGCAGGGCACACTGCCCAAGAGTGTGTCAAAAGTCCGCCAGGCGTTGAACACCACGATCGCGCGTCGAGCGAAAGAGGAGTGGCGACGCTCGCCAAGGGCAGCGCGGATGGACCGGATAGACGACCACATGCCATCCAAAGTGTACCGCAAGCTGGCAGAAAGACTACCCAGGCGCCAGGCAAGTATTCTCATCCAACTCCGCACGGAGCATGTTCCGCTCCAGAAATATCTACACAGGATTAAGAAGGCGGACTCACCAATATGCGAACAATGCGGCACGGCACCAGAGACGGTGTACCATTACCTGCGCGAATGCCCGGCGTACGAGGAGCAGAGGGAGCGGCTAGACGGGGATGCAGGCGAAGCAGCCACGCAGTTACGGACACTCCTCAACACTCCGAGGATGATGAAACACCTCTTCCGGTACATCCACAGCACCAGACGGTTCCACGCGACGTACGGCGACCTTGCACTGAAGACCGCGAGGGCGATGCCAAAGGCGCGAGCACGACACGGCCAAGAGGAGCGCGGATAGCCAAATGTGACCAGATTCCATCCTACTACACTACTATACATCATGCTACTGTACCACCACACCCAGAGCCGCGGCGAACGGGATATTTGGAGATGAGGACCGGGGAAGGATAGCGGGTCGGGGAGACACACCGAATGTATCGTCTACATAGGGCATAGCCCTCAGCGACGTAAAATGGAATAAACAAACAACAAATGTTAGCACAAGCCAAGGATACACGCACCATTTATTCTCAACCTACTTCAAACTTGAACAGTCCCAGCCAACGAGCCGGTTCACGCTGTGTCCTGCCCCAGACGATCATGCGACCACCGCATCCACGACACTTCGAAGCACGACTGAGAATAAACGGTTCCAGTGCGTTCCAAGACTGACACAACGTACACTACACTGCGGTCACAAGATGGCTGCTTTGCTTACAGTAAACACGTTCCAGCGATAAATGATGAGCTTCCGTACATGCATTGCGTCGATCACCGCTGCTTCCCTCTCCAGCCCGCACCGCCCAAGGCACCCGCACCGCCGATCCCGAAGCCCGCGAACGCGCCCCCGGGCCCTGCCGCACCCACGGCGGGCAGCCCAGGGCCCTCCCCAGGTCCGGCCATCGGACTGTTCTTGCTGCCGTGGAACGACGAGCGATAGGACGTCTGAGGCAGCGCCTGGATAGTGAGGAACTTGTTCGGCGTCGGGCGGTCGTCGTTGTTATACTGCACAAACGGCATCAAGAAGAGCGCGCACAGACAAGGATGAGCCGATACGCACCTGGAACTCGAGCCCGATGCCGTCCGCCTCGGAGACGTCGAGGAGCTTGACCAGCTTGCGCCCGATGCCGTTGATCTTCTCGACGTCCTCCTTGCTGCGCGTCCAGAGCTGGATGCGGTCGACCTTGCTCCGGAGGCTGACGACCGCGCCGCAGATCTCGTCGCCCTCGTCGAGGTCCTCGCCGACGAGCGCCATCGCGAGCCAGCTCCAGCAGCGGTCCAGCAGCTGCGGGTTGTTCTTCATCGTCAGCACCCACTTGCCCCCGCTCGCGTTCGCGGGGTCCTCCCACATTGGCTTGATGCCCGACTTGAAGATGTGGTAGTTCGAGTTGCGCTCCAGCCGCGACGGCGGCTTCAGCCAGTTGAAGTACCGGCAGAACGTCTCGACCGTGTCGAACTCGCCGATCACGGTGAGGCCTGCCTCGTACTCGTCCGACTCGGGCACCGTGAAGGGCGTCGCGCTCTGCGGTGGTTCCAGCCCTCCGCTGTTGAGCGAACGCTGTGGGTGGGCGGAAGCCGGGGTGAAAGGGACGTTCGACTTTGAGTCGTGGTATAATGTCCTGTATTTCATCAGCCCACGAGGTGCGTCGTATACTGACAGTGCGCGTACCACTTGTTCTCTAGCGGATGCTCCGGGGCCTTGATGCGCAATCCAGGTGTCTTGGGATCCTCAATGGTCTCCGCATCGGGCGGCTTCGCCGAGCCATCGACGCTCAACGTCCTCGCCTTCGCAAGGCGGGCCGAGATCGCATCCAGAGAGGGGATGTTCTTGTAGCCAACCGGCATCTTGGGCTTCTTGGGTTGCGCCGCGGCGTCCGCTGTTTCTTCGTTCAGCTTGTCGAGCTGTTCGCTCGTCAGCTTCTCGCCAGAACCCGCATCGCTCGGAGCGGGCGTGCTCGAAGTGCTCCCCGGTGGAGACGTCGATAGCGCAGCGGGAGATACGGAGCGAGATCCTGGGGGATTAACGGTGACCGAGTCCGTCGTAGACGCTACTGTCGAAGAGAGCGATGATTGTGAAGACGTGCGGAGGAGTGCCGCGGCGAGACGAGGGCGTGCGGCTGCAGACGCGGGGTTAGAGCCTGAATTTAGGTTGATACGCGCAGCAAGCTGGTTGAGCGAAGGCATGCGGGTGCCCGAGGAGGGGCGTTCGGGTTTGGGAGCATCGATCTTCGTCGCCGTCGTTTCCGAGGCGGCAGGAGGAGCAGCGGGGGTCGACATGGCGGCGAGGAGCAAGTCGTACGCGCCGTCGAGCGCAAAGGCTGTGGCGCGACATCGCCGGGCATTGCGGAGCGAAACAGTGACGCATGATCGTATCTGGCCTTTGAATATGGATTGCCCTAGCCATGACGCTCAAGGGCACATGGTGTAGTTGGTTATCACATCCGCTTAGCACGTGATAGCTGCGGGGGGTGCTGGGTTCAATTCCCAGTGTGTCCATCTTGTTTTGTTCGCTTTTTCGGCTGATCATGACGTTCGCCTCACCTGCAAAGAGAACTTCTAGATGGGCTGCCGCTACAATGCAAAACTTTGACAAAGACTCCCGGATGCGATCAAAGTACATGTACAGGAGTCTAAAATGCTGCAGACACCGAACACGACGCGACATGCTACAGCAATATGCAATCCAGCTTTGAGTGTGACGTCAGCCCTCTACTAATACATAAAAGTGAACTGCTATTGCAATACAAGCTCTGTGACATCAGGCTAGAAGGTATCCATACTCGCTGCCACGTACTACGCATAGAATGCATGGAAGGGCCAGAGATGCTACCGGATGGACACGAATCGCAGAGCGGTTGACTACCGCATCCCTCGTTGCCCCAATTCTGGACTAAAGCATGGAGTCACGCGAGACTTCGGAGATGCAAATCAGATAGACATACCTAGCTGTCCTTGAAGCCAGATATATTTGGAAATTCACGCCAAGCTCTTCTCATCGCCCTGTTCTCAGTCTCCTTGAACACCTCCGCGCACATATTGCAGAGGCCCGAACTGGTGCACAGTTAGGCGATCAAAGACACTATCTGGAGGGTAGTGTCCATTGTGATGTGCGTCGCTCAACCCCTTCCGAGTTTCTTCACAAAATGTGAGTCGCACTCCGAAGATTCGAAGGCGAGGGTCTCCTGATGGACCTCAGAAGTCAGGCGCACCAGGGCGGGTCCACACACCCTAGTGTTTGTGAAGTCTTCTCTCAATGTTGGCAGATCCGCAAAGGCCGCAGCGTCGCATCTCAGATCATCCGAGATGGGCAGGCACAGGTAGAAGTAGGCGGGACGGAGAAGCAAAGTGTCCCCAAGGAGCCGGGAGAGCTCAAGGACACAGAGGGAGTCTGCTTGGAGGTCGAGATACAGCAGTTCGGGGGATTCATACGTTCCGTCTAACGAGTCGATGAAAGCATCCATGTTGCTTAGATAGCTGTATATGATGCGGTCTACGGCGTCCTCCACAACACCTGACCTGGTACTTGTGCGCGAGATGCGCGAGGGCATAGAGGACACGAAACTGGGCTGGCTGGTGCACTCTGAAGTGCCTGATAAAGCGAATCCTAGTCAGTACTTGTTATTGAACGAAGAGAACACAAACACTTGTTTTCCTTGTAGAGAGCAAGTAATAGGTGTCGCATGTCGTCTGTGCTATTGGTCACTTCTATGATGGGGCATGTGCCGAAGCATAGTGGCTGAGGCTGAGGTATGGACAGCATGTTGCGGAAGAGCTCGGAATGGGTGGAGAGAACACTACGGTGGACTCGGAATGCGGTAGCTTCCGCGACGATGTCAATATTACCGTCGGTGAGCAATAAATAGTTGTCCGGATGATGAGAGTGATTGATGTCTGTGTCTTTCTCCGGCTTTGCTTCTTCACTCAGTCCGCTGCTGTTGTCGTCGGTGTGCGAGCGTTTGAGTGTAGTTTGCATTGCTGTGCTACTATAACGGGGCGGTTACCAGTGTACTACTGTCGGAGATCAAGTTGCGGTATGATGCTGCCCGCAGGGGTAAAAGATGAAAAAGAAGTTGTATGACCACACCTGAAACTCATGGAATAGCACGCACCTCCAGACCCGCCAATGAGGAATTTAAATGTCATGGGAGTTACACTACTAGCTCTGCCGGGTACTCGCAGTAGACTCAACTGAGTGAAGATACCCTGTGGAATCACTGGGGTTCTGGTCTAATTAGAGAAGCCGTTGCTGGGCCGCCGTGTGCGTTACTGGTTGAAGGTGGTAGGATAGATGGCTGCGGTAAGTACTTGACCAGGATTCATATTCAGGCCTCAGGGAGGCGAACAATTTCAGCAATCATGTGATCGTGCAAACAACAGTGAGCGTCTCTGAGTCAAGCTCAGGCGCCACTGACCCCACGACACCATTCTTACCGGCTGCAGTGAACAGCATATCATACTCCCCAGTCCAAGGTATATAATCAGCCTATACATAGACTCGAACGTCCACGTAGGTTTCAGGTTAGTTCAACAGATGGCGGACGACTGACGAAATTGTGCTTAGTGTTTCCTTATGACGTCCGAGTCACAGCAGACTAATACCACTGTGCAAGCCGAAAACCCAAATGATCACCAATGCGCACACAGTGAGGAGAGTGCAGGAGGAGAAGATTTTACGGTGTCCCAGACAGGCCTGGAGCCCAATGAAGAGCTACTATCACGGACCGGTCAGTCGGCAGACCCTAGAAGTCGGCACCCCGCCACCTCTCTCGCCACAGGTGATGGCCTGCTTCCGTTCGACTTGGACTTAGATTAGTATACCTTTGCGTGCATTCCGGTACCATTCTCACGGCAGGATGCCCACTGTACAGCGAGATTGACATTCGGGCAAACATCACGCCCTTCAGCCACTGGCCGAGGCCTGCCGTAGCGGAGCTCGAATCCAATGAGGGAGCAGTGAGAAGGCGCACACAACGGGCAACATTTGGGACATAGAAACAGATCCCAATTCACGCCGGTGGCTCAAATTCGGTACCTTAGTACATAACCATGCATCCACTGTGATGGGAGCTGAACTTCCGTCCAAATAGCTCGTGGTGTAATTGTCAAAATGAGACTCTATGCTACTAGCATGACTTGGGACTAGTGCAGCCTGTTTGGTCTTCTCAGTATGAGTTTTGGGTGCTCATACCAAGGATAACACCAAGAAACAGCATGAAGTCGCCTGCCCAACAAGTACTGCCCGACATTGCACTCCGGACCACCGCACACTAGGAGCTGCCATCCATACTTGGTAGGGCGGACCTCGAAACAAGGTGTGCGAACTGTGTGACGCTGGCGTGACCGCCAACTTCTAGGGTCTGCCGACTGGTCCATGATAGTATGGTTTGATGACAGCAGTGTGGTCATTGTGGCAGAAAACATCGCTTTCTGTGTTCTTTTTTTTATTAATTCCACATGTTTACGGCCCGTATCTCTACGATACATGCAGGCACAATAACTACGGTGAAAATCAGTCCTAGGACCCTAGTACGCCTCACGGCTACCTGCTCAAGCAGAGCCCGTGTTGCCCTCTTGCAACCCTGGGGTGAATCGTAAGGCATCGTACACTAAAAGTAGGTAAGGAAAAACTGCGACCATCAGCTAAGGGAAAGCCTGAGTCCGAGCCCAAGGCAAGCCACCAAACGCATCACGTGCAGCAGGTGCAACTCCCCCCAAGACCGGCCTCGCCCATCGCGGCCATAGCAACCTGTCGTCCTGGTCTTCTATCGTAGGCCCCCCTCGGGGACGTTGGGGTGAGGGGCTTATGCCGTGTCAGAACAGCGAGCGTGAGGGGAAGGTGGGTACGTAACTTTGCATATCTCTCTGTCGTATCCGTTGGGCCGCTTCTGGCACTTGTCTTCATCATCTGTTGTTCTCCTGACCAGGGTGGTAAGTGGGGGGCAAGTCTATGGGCGACACCGAAGTGCCTTCCAACTGGGTGCGATTGTCGGTGTTCACTTGTGTCAGGTTCCCCACCTCCACATTTCGGACCCTCAGCGGCCAGAGCTCCTCCGCAATGCAGTGAGTATTAACCTCTTGCCTAGCCTCTCCTCCAATGCAATGCCTCCGCCTCAGCTCTCCTTGGTTTTCTTCTCGCCACCCCGTGCCTCAGAATACAATTTATCCCAGGGGCCACAGGCGCCCTGGAGCTTACAGTCCGCAGTAAAGCATCCTGGACTCAACAGAGTCTCCCGGGAGAGTGGGCAGGGGCTAGGGCACGTTACTGAGGGAAGGGGATCGTGATGGATAACGGTGCCGCCGGGACTCGGTGGAGTCTCCCCAACGACTGGACCAGGGCTAGGGCGCCTTGAGCCCCACAGGCCATACCAGGCTGCCGACGCTGCATTTAAAGTGCCCGTGGTACTATTCGTGCTCAGCAGATAGGTTTCTTACCCCAGGACACACTGTGCCCCTTGTAGCTTGTGGTTGGTACGATCGTCCAGGTCCTTTGTAGGATGGAAAGGAGAGTTGGAGAGAGGAGGGGGATGCGAGGCCGGGAGCCTCAAGTGGGACGTCGGAGTCGACAATTTGCGATCCGTGACACTCGATGGGCAATCAGTGAGTTGTGCTGGTTTGTTGATGTTCGTAAAGCGATGGTCGAGTTAGGCGACACTAAGGAATGTGGGGGCCGAGTTGGACAGCCTTGACGCGAGGAAACGAGGGTGAATTAGGAGGGGGCGGGTAGGTAGATGGGCTCCGATAAGCGGGCGCCTAACGGAGATGATGGTGGTACGAGGTCAAGGAGCGATTGCGCTTTCCGCATTCACTGGAGCGTCTTATCACTCAATTCAGATGTCTTTCGAGACATGTTCGCTATCCCGCCGCCAACCAGCGATGCTCAAGAGATGATGGCAGGATGCCCTGTCATGCGCGTCTCAGACACAGTTCACGATATGCGACATCTGCTCAAAGCATTATACCGAGGTAGTGAAATGTAGGCAATGTCGCTTTAAGTCTACTATGTTTGCTATGTGTGACTGACCAGCGATCTTCAGGCTCTCAGGACAGAAAAAAGCCGCCTTCGAGGTTGTCGCGACTCTTCTTCGACTGGCACACAAATATCAAGTTGGCCAGCTTCACAATGGTGTGCTGGCGAGAATCAAGGTCGTATACGTCGGCGACTTCATGTCGTATCTGGACAAAGGGCTGAACACACACCCCTCGCTGACGTACACGCCCTCGGACGTGTTCGAAGTCGTACACATCAGGAAAAAACAGGATTGCCAGATAGCGCTAGATAGCCAACATAGCGCTCGTAGCGTCATCGAAGACCCCCGCGTTTGTAGCCCGCCATAGGCGCGTGCAGCAGCTCTGTAGTGGCAGGTAGTGCTTCATAGCAGACTCTCTGTCATTCATAGCACAGTGTAATACAGCCATAGACACACATATTTGACTCATAGACACTCACATCAAGCTCATAGGCACTCATAGTCGTACTGAAGACATCTCATTTCTAG